TGGTTGGCTCTCCTTGCAGTTCAAGGGACTCTCAAGAGTCTTCTCCAACACCACAGTTCAAAAGCATCAATTTTTCGGCGCTCAGCTTTCTTCACAGTTCAAAAAAAAAACAACAGAAATTAATTTTCTTATGGCTCTAGAAGTTGGAAGTTCAAGATCAAGCTGTTGGCAGGGTTGGTTCCTTCTGAAGCCATGAAGGAAGGATCTGTTTCAGGCCTCTCTCTTGCTGGTAGATGGCCGTCTTCTCCGTGTCACTTCGCATCATCTTGCCTCTGAATGTGCTTGCCCGAAGTTCCTCCTTTTGTAAGGACAACAGTCATACTGAATTAGGGCCTGCACTAATGACTCCATTTTAACTGTGTTACCTCTTTAATGAGCGTATCTCAAAATACAGTTACAGTCTGAGATGCTAGGAGTTAGGACTATAACATATGGATTTTGTGGGATGAAAGGGGATACAATTCAGTCCGTAACAACTACACAGCAGATATTCTTCCCTCATAGTTTCACCCTAAAACAAGGCATGTAGGTGGTAAGTAACAAATGAGCCTTGAATCAATTATGGTCCATTTGGTGGGAGTTGGGATTACTTTGTGAGTTGAGGAAGCATATAAAATTGTTCAGATGCGAAGGGCAGTATCTAGGATTGGTCCTCAGTTCCAACTAAGCCTTTAAAGGAGTTGTCTGAGAACTTGTGAAAGTGACTCTCTTTGTCATTTTGTAAACTAATGATGAGATTCTCTGTTCAGGGAGGTTTCTGATGGTCCTCCTTTCCACGTATAACAAACTGCCTTATTCTTCTCCTGGGCCTCCCCTGACCAAAGCACTGTTGATTGACATGCTCAAGGAGCAGAAGTTCCTGTGGAATGACTGACTCTGTACTCTTCACCTATGTCAGAGATCTCTCAGTAGCCTGAGCCAGCCTATGTCACTTGCACTGATGCAGGAACAGACATGGCGAAGAAATGTATCCTGTCTGGCCCAGAGAAGTGACAGACTCTCATGCTGCTGGAATGATTCACAGTCTAAGATTCCTCCCAGACATCTAGTGAATCTAGTTAATGAGGAGCATTTCTAGTCATCAGTCTTCAGTCCTACTTATCCTCCATCTTTGCTCCAAACAACTTTTCTATGCTTACTGCATGCCCTCCAGCCTTTTGATACCCAATAGTGGTTAAAAAATACAAGCTCTTTCCAGGTACCTCTTGTTCATTGAGAGAACAGTGCTTCAAATCTTAAAGATCTAGGCTCACCTAACATTTATAATGAAATCCCCTCTGTATCCACAGCTCCTTAGGAATGTCTCAAATAATGAGCGATCCACTGCTTTGGGAAACAACTCATGTCATTTAAAACATACTTTCCATTTGAATGACATTTTTCCTTTTTGGAAACTTGAGTTTGGCTCTATCTAAATCCCTAGTCTGAGCTCCATCGGTCATACTCAATCAGCTGAACCCATCTCTTCTACTTGACTCCCAGTGCACATCCGAGTGCCACTTGGGAGCCTTGCCTGAGTCTTCTGTACCTTAGGTCAGGCAATACAACATCTCCAAGATAACATCTTTTGTTTGGATCTTCTTTGGGGCCTCAATCCTCTGAATGGCTTCTAGTGGATCATGACTAAAACAGGCTGAGATTCCTTCTCACCTTTCAGGGCTCAGAGCAAATGTTACCTTCTTTGTGAAGGTCTCCTTGATCACTCAGATACCAGGCAGTTGACAACTTTGTTGGTATTCTCAGACCACCTTGTACATTACTTTTGCTATAACAGTTGCTGCAGTGTATCACAACTGTTGATGGGCATTTTCTCTCTTGCTCAGTGTATGATAACCCTTTCCTTAACAAGGGACTGAGCCTTCATCATTACAGTCTCCTCCGTTCTTGGCACAGAAGAGGGGATTCAGGTTTACTGGTTGCTTTACTGATTCAAGAAATCAAAGGTCAAATTTCAGGTACCATGACTGGTCAGAAATGGAAATATATTTGTTGAGGGAGATTTTTGACAGTCTTCAGATGATCTTCTTTTAGGCACATCCTGGACGACTTATATTTAAATGATCTTGGGGCAGGCTGAGAGTCTTGCAGGAAGCAGAGTGCAGTGTGGTTTACCACTGAGACCTCCCTGATGCTTCTGGATGTTCCAGCACAAATCCTGGCTTGCAGCTCTAGTGTCAAATAATATGTGGGGTACCCAAATCCTCACCCTAGTTAATGAGGCTTGACATTAAAAAACTGTCTTTTTCTTCTCATTGAGGGGAAATTGATCATCAGACTTGCTTGTTTACTTTTCTAAGATGAGTGTTGGAGACCAGTATAACCAAGGGATGATTCCTCCCAAGAAAGATAGGAAATCAAAATGTATCTCCTCTTGATGGGCATTTTCTCTCTTGCTCAGTGTATGATAACCCTTTCCTTAACAAGGGACTGAGCCTTCATCATTACAGTCTCCTCCGTTCTTGGCACAGAAGAGGGGATTCAGGTTTACTGGTTGCTTTACTGATTCAAGAAATCAAAGGTCAAATTTCAGGTACCATGACTGGTCAGAAATGGAAATATATTTGTTGAGGGAGATTTTTGACAGTCTTCAGATGATCTTCTTTTAGGCACATCCTGGACGACTTATATTTAAATGATCTTGGGGCAGGCTGAGAGTCTTGCAGGAAGCAGAGTGCAGTGTGGTTTACCACTGAGACCTCCCTGATGCTTCTGGATGTTCCAGCACAAATCCTGGCTTGCAGCTCTAATGTCAAATAATATGTGGGGTACCCAAATCCTCACCCTAGTTAATGAGGCTTGACATTAAAAAACTGTCTTTTTCTTCTCATTGAGGGGAAATTGATCATCAGACTTGCTTGTTTACTTTTCTAAGATGAGTGTTGGAGACCAGTATAACCAAGGGATGATTCCTCCCAAGAAAGATAGGAAATCAAAATGTATCTCCTCCCTTTCAAGGCACATATTTTCCAAAAGGAATTTTGGCCAGCTTGCTACATCATTTGCTTGCTTGCTAATATTATATGAATATAAATCCTGAATACATTGAGGGGCAGGAATACTCAGAAGTATTCCCTGAGATAATACTTCCTGTCCAACCAATAAACAAACTGACTTTGTATCTTCAGGGAAAATTTGTTAAGACACTCTTGCAACTAGAATACATTCTAGGGCTAGGAAGAAAGAATCTATTCTGTTCATTTTCTCAGACTCCTTCTTTATGGTGAGTAGTGGATATCTATAGAACACTTAAAAATTCTTCAAAGACAAAAATATTCAAGTTTTCTCTTGCCATGATCTGTAACCCATTCTTATCAGCAAATGCCTTTTTATTTTAGCATTTTTGGCTGAGTTCAGTGTTTGAAAAGTGACCTGCTGGTTTACAACACCTTCAGACTTTGCATCAACCCAGCTACCGAGATGTTATTCCGAGCTGATTGTTCTTCTCCTTTTAAGATCAGATATGACTGTTCCTGTAGTAGTCTAGCATGTTCATGGAAGATAACTTTGTAGAATTGCTCGGCACCATATTTGTCATTTGGTGCAGCCTAAAAGAAAATTCGCAGAATTAAATAAATGCAGTGAGAGTCTTCCCATCTTAAGTGGGATTGGGAGGCCTGCTAGGAGGGCCATGGTAGGAATGCTAAATGTTCAATTCTAGGTCTCTGGACCATATCAGAGGGACTGCTATTACACTGTCTATGCTCCAAACATACAGATGAGAAACGTCAGAGAAATTTCAGAGGAAGAAATATTAAGAACTAAAAGTTCACTTTTATGCTTGAAATAGATGGTTTAAAAGGTAAAATAACTTTACAGTAAACTTTTGGAGTTTCAACTTATTTATATTTTCTATTTCAAATTGATGAGATTATTCAGGGGAAATAGTTCCACGGTACAGATAGGTAACTATGCCTGGGATACAGTCCTAATTTTCCATGGTCATTGTTGTAGACACTCAAAATACCTCCCTCAAAATGGAGGTCCAGAATCTCTGTCAGAGATAGAATCTAGACCCAAGATGCAGGATTTATATTTCTTATGCTGTAAGCTTGTTAGAGCTGCCTGATTCTATTGTAATTCTTACGGTTGTTGGTAAGGCTCTGCCAGTCTGCTGGAGGGGAGGCCTCTACAGAGACATCTTTTTTCTCCACCAGTAAATAAGGCAAGAGCAAGTGAATGTAGCTCTGAGAATTCAAGACAAGTTTATTAAGATGCCTCTGAGCTCGAGGCTCTCATCTGTGGAGGGAGTGTGGCAGTGGGAGGTGAAGGTGCAGGTGGGGGGAGTGCGCCATTGGACAGTGAGTGCAAATACAGTTGTCTAGGCAAGGAGAGAGGGTGTTGTTTAGTATTGAAATCATGTATTCCAGAGGTGGGCATTTGGTAGTCAATCTGCTCTGAAGTGACATGCTGCTGAATCTTTAAAGGGCTTCAGCCAGGGAGAGCAAAATCTGATTGGGCAAATTGCTAAAATATTTAAAGTGCAGCCTGTTAAAGCTTTTACTGCGAAGAGCATCACGTCAGAAGTTGTAGTCAGAAAGAGCGAGTAATTGGCTTTCCATCCTCATGCCAGTCAGTCAGCATGAGGCTCTATTCCTATTCTTTCCTCTTCATTGCCAATGCTAATAACAACCCTTTGGGTGTGTGCATGTGTGTGTGTCATGGAGAGACTGGATAGCTGGTAAATGAGAATAGGAGGAGTGAGACATCCATAAGAAGGGAGACTGAATCCGCAAAGTGATGTGAAGTCCATTGTAGAGAAAGGGGAATGGGAAAGAAAGGCAGAATTACTACCTGACACAGATCACCTGCACATCCAGGAGGTGATGGGGGTTCAGGGCAGTTATCTTTCACAGGATGGGTCCTGCAAGTAAAAGATTGGCCTTCAGTGACAAGTGCTTCCTCCGCTTCTCCCATCTCCTCTGAGATGGAACTCAGGGGGCACTTTCCATTTATAATTTATCACATTTTCCACTTAAGTTTTCCTGTACTTTTCTCCCCAGGCATGACCCCTTGTTAATTCCTGGCAATGATCAGATTGACAACATGGACTCCAATGTGAAGAAATATGACTCTACCGGGATGTTTCACTGGTGTGCACCCAAGGAGATAGAGAAAGTCATCCTGGTGAGTGATAGGTTTCAGAATCTGTGCCATCCACTTCTGTCCCAAATTATATTTGCTGTGAATGAAGTTTTCCTAGCTGGGTGGTGGGGTGTTTGTTCCTGGCCCTAATTATTTTTGGTAATTAATAATCAGGACATATGTTGAAGCAGCTAGAACTCTTATCAGAGTATGACCTAAGGGTGGAATTTTCAATCTCTGAATATGTATTGGCTCATCACCTTAGGGTGTGAAAACCCATCGTGGGAGACAGTGTGTACCATAACTCTGGCAGGTGTGGTTGTCAGGCCAGAGCCTGCCTGTGCATTTGCTGTGTGGCCTTGGATAAGTCCCTTGAAGAATTTGCACTTCGTCTCTTATGTGTAGGAAGATGGGATGAGGATGACCTTAACTCACAGAATTGTAGTGAGGATTAAAACCCAACATAAAACCCAACTCCATAAACTTACCTATTTTTATTATATATTAAATGCCATGAAGAAATCTGAATGCTACCTGTATTATCATGTGTTTATAATAGTGTCTTGTATCTTTCTAGATACTAGATTTGCATATTTGTGATCCTTCTTAGCTCACAAGGTAGGCAGGCAAATCCCACTTGCTGATGATGACAAGGATGACCATGGTCCACCTCGGAAAGGCTCATAGCCTTTCTGAGCTCATAGCCCCGTTTCTTGGTTGACTCATCTCAGTAGCAACAGTGGGCTTCTTCTGGTCTGTCTCAGGAATGTCAGAATAGATAACAATCCATGCTATTCTTTTGGAGAAGGCAATTGCACCCCACTCCAGTACTCTTGCCTAGAAAATCCCATGGATGGAGGAGCCTCGTAGGCTGCAGTCCATGGGGTCATTAAGAGTCAGACACGACTGAGCGACTTCACTTTCATTTTTTACTTTCATGCATTGGAGAAGGAAATGGCAACCCACTCCAGTATTCTTGCCTGGAGAATCCCAGGAACGGGGGAGCCTGGTGGGCTGCCGTCTATGGGGTCGCACAGAGTTGTACACGACTGAAGTGACTTAGCAGCAGCAATGCTATTCTTTAGACTTGTCCGATTAACAGCTTAAGGTTTTATGCCTACATCGGCTTTCCTACCCATTTATTGTCTTGCTAATCCATGAAAAATGGATTAATAATCAGGAAGGTCAGATGGAAATGTTCTTCCTCCCTTGTGCTTTCTAATCCTCAGATTGCTGAGGCCTGCTCCTTTATGTCAGCCAGGAAAATCCTATCATTTCTGATGTTATGGCCACTGTTCCTAAGAAAGGATGGTTCCAGTTCCTCAGAATGCCTTTGTGCTCTAATCCACTAGGTTTTTCCCTGTGTTTTATCTGAATATGTGCGTGACTTCTCAATTTAATTATAATCGAGCATTAAGAACCAACACAGCTCTGTGCTGGAGGCTGTTTGGGAGGTGTGAAAGTTGCAGACAAAAGCATAGAAAGTCAGAATTCTCAGGAAGCAACCCTTGTCCAAGGAGTGCAAATGGTTCTCATTACAAAGCTGCTGCTTTTGTTTATATTCTGATGTGGTATCTGCCCCACTTTTGCTCTGGGGATATAAACTCATTCTGGTGTTGCCTACCTTGGGGCATGTTAGAAGCTGGGTTGACATTTTGGGATGCAAGCTTTCCGTGGCTTGCCTAGATAATCCTGAGAAGTACGTGGCTGACACTCAAAGCACCCTACCGGCACCAAAGAGTTTAATGAGGTGAGTTACTACTTCTCTTACCTGAAAATAGGATTATTTAACAAAACGTATGTAACAAACCTATGATGTGTTAGACACTTGCTCTTTGTTGCTAAAGGTACAACCCCTGACAACAGCTGGTCTCATAGATCTTGTAATCTAGTGGGGACGAAGACCAGATCTCAAGATAGACAATGACTATGTAATAACATTTTAGATATTGATAAAATGCTATGAAGAAAATAAAATGGGGTCATGGGCTAAATCCACCCTGAATATCCATTGGAAAGACTGAAGCTGAATTTTCAAAACTTTGGCCACCTTATGTGAAGAGCATTGGGAAAGACCCTGATGCTGGGAAAGATTGAGGGTAGGAAGAAAAGGAGGCAACCAGAGGATGGGGTGGTTGGATGGTATCACTGACTCAATGGACATGCATTTGAGCAAACTCTAGGAGATGGTGAAGGACAGGAAAGCCTAGCGTGCTACAGTCCATGGGGTTGCAAAGAGTCATACAGGACTCAGTGACTGAACAACAGCATCAATGTGGGCTAGAAGGGGCTTCCCAGGTGGTACAGTGGTAAAGAATCCACCTGCCAATAAAGCAGATGCAAGAGACACAGGTTCGACCCCTGGGTCAGGAAGATCCCCTGGAGAAGGAAATGGCAACCCACTCCAGTATTCTTGTNAGAATCCACCTGCCAATAAAGCAGATGCAAGAGACACAGGTTCGACCCCTGGGTCAGGAAGATCCCCTGGAGAAGGAAATGGCAACCCACTCCAGTATTCTTGTCTGGGAAATCCCACAGACCAAGGAGCCTGGAGGGCTACAGTCCATGAGATCACAAGAATTGGACGCAACGGAGCACCCACATTTGCATGGGCTAGAAAGGGACTTGTAGGTGCTGTTTAGACAGTGTGGTCCAAAAAACCCTCTGTCAAATAACCCTCTCAAAGAGATGAGAATGATTATGAGAGCCAGCTGCGTGAGGCTGTAGGATGTTTATGGATGTAGGCCACTAACTGCTTTGGGAGTTAGACAATTTGAGATGGCTAATTTTGAGAAAATGACCATCTAATTAAAAGATATAATGTACCATGAAACAACATATTAAAAGCTAAATGTGACAAGATACAAAGCACTGTTTCACTCTAGTATGTATTTAAGTGGCCAGGGAAGTCTTGTGCGGTACAAACAGGTTGAGCTCAGAAGGGGTTAATGGCTGTGAAGGCCCCACAGGGACTAGGCCTTGAAGAATATATAGGAAAAAGAAGATACACCTGAGTAGTTTCTCCATTGGGTCTAATATCTGCCTGAATCAGTCTCCCCAGGGCTACATCCTGGGAATTGGGGTCTTTTACCAGGTTCTCCAGGTGATACTGCTCTGGTTGGTCTGAGGATCTGGTGCCTTGGACACCAGATCTAAGCTCCTGGGATTAGCACAGTGAATGGCTCCTCTGATAACGGGTGCTTTCCCTAGCTCCCACGTCTAGATTTCCGGCCCCTATTCTGAACTCAGTTTGTATTTCCCAGGCTTCCTGAAGGGAGCTAGCCTCCCAAAAGACCTGGCCAAGTAAAACTAATCAGGAGTCCCATCACAGCACGTTACAGACAGGTTGACCCTCTGCTGGTGGTACCTAGACATGCATGCTCCACCCAGCCGAGATAACTCACTCATCCATGAAACAGCGGTGGGGACGTGACTGCCTAGCGGCTCCTCCTGGGTCCCCATTTATAAGACATGTTTTATGGCCGCATCTTAGATGTCCCTGTGCCGTTGCAGAGAGAAACCAATAATAGTGACAGCCCCTGCTTTATTCTAATGATCAGGGAGTAGAAGCTAGCTTCTTCCTCTCCTTGGGGGTTACTGTAATAACCCTGACATTGTCATGAATTGCAATATTGGCATTTAAACAATCAATACACTGGTCAATTCTAGAGATTAAATTGAGCAGAGTTTGATATGTGCAGTGGACATTAATATGCCTCCCCCAAAAGCATTGTAAGCCACATGGGGCCATCCAGACATGCAGTGGGTGGACTGGGAGGAAGAAAGGAAGTTTGGAGGCATTGGGCCAGAAAGAGAGGCAGAGAAAGACCCACAACTGGCCTCCCGTGTTGCTCTTTGCACGAACACAGTAAGCAGAGGGACCAGCAGGGACTAACGGTTTAATCGTCCTGGGAAGCTTTAACTCGGGTGCTTTTATTCTTTCATTTGTCTCCTTTGTGAAGTACAGGCCTGGTTGGGGGAAGATGGGGGCCTGTTGCTCTTGCTGTTATGATCCTTCTCGTGGTTGTTTGGGAGTCTTCCTCTGACGACTTAACACAAGTGGTCACTCTAGTTGTGTCCTTGGAGACCCTAAGGCAGCAGTAGATAGTGGTCAGCAAACTCTCTCTGTAAAGGATCATATAACAAAGAATTTAGGCTTTGCTGGCCATAAGGTCTCTGTCACAACTAATCTTTTGTAATGTAAAACCAGCCTCTGCTTTTGTAATGTAAAACCAATACCTAAATCAGTAAGACCAGCCGTGTTGTGATAAAACTTTTCTTGGAATTTGAACTTCATATAATTTTCACGTAGTATGAGATATTTTTCTTTTGATTTTTTTGCCAACAGTTTTCAAACATAAAAACCAATCTTTGCTCACTGGCCAGAGATAAGCAGGTAGTGTGTTAGATTTGGCCTGTGAGTCATAGTTTGCTAGCCCCTGGCTTTGGATATCATTTTCTACCTTCTGATGTGGTAATGTCCTGTGAGATCCCATTGGTGAGTCTAGAATTCAAAACTCATCTCTTGACCCAAGGCCAGCATGAGTCTGACTATTTTATCATCATCTCAGCAACAAAGGAAAACAGTTTTATCAACACTTTCCTGGAAACTAAGACTTCCTTTTCCAAATGACATCAGTATTGCTCTTTCTTATTTCTCTCCCTGAATCCTGTTCCTATGTATGTATGGCATATCTTCCTTAAATCTTTTTTAAAAGAAAGTAGTGATGTGTATGAATATATATTTTTGTTGTTTAACCATGAAGTCGTGTCTGACTCTGCAACCCCATGGACTTCATATTTATTACATCAATATAGTTTATATACATATACTCAAGCTATATCCCTGGTGGCTCAGATGGTAAAGAACCTGCCTGCAATGTGGGAGTCCCAGGTTTTATCCCTGGGTCAGGAAGATCCCCTTGGAGAAGGGGATGGCTACCCTCTCCAGTGTTCTTGCCTGGAGAATCCCATGGGCAGAGGAGTCTAGCGAGCTAAAGTCCATGGGGTTGCAAAGAGTCAGACACGACTGAGCGATTAACACATGGCAGGAATATAACATTGAAGGAATAAAAAACAATGGTACACAGTAAGCACTCAGTGACTGTTTACTTGTTATTTTACAAGGCTGACTTTCTAGTCCTTCCCACAACCCCACCAGGTCTCCTCTCCAATGTTTGTGCTCTTCTCCCTCTGGCAGACCCGAAGTGAAGCTGCCATGACCGTCCTGAGTGGCCACGTGGTGGTCTGCATCTTCGGTGATGTCAGTTCTGCCCTGATTGGTCTTCGGAACCTGGTGATGCCACTCCGTGCCAGCAACTTTCACTACCACGAGCTCAAGCACATTGTGTTTGTGGGTTCCATCGAGTACCTCAAGCGGGAATGGGAGACACTACATAACTTCCCCAAGGTTTCCATCTTGCCTGTAAGTCCAGGGTCACATTATCAATGCTTTTTTCTCCTTTTTATTCACAAAAGAGAAATCCCGGATGAATATAATGGTTGTAGCTTTGATCATGCCTCTGCTTCTTCATCTGGTTATGGGCCTGAGGACTCAGCCCTTCCCCTACACTTTGTCTAGGAATATCCAAACCCTGAGAGACCTTATTAAAAGGAATTTGCAGCCAAGTTCAGTCACTCACCAGACATGGAGTTTGGCTGGTATCAAATGTATTAACCATATCAATGTCTAAACACTTTCTCTCTTACCTACCCAAATGCAGTGCTTTGCAATATTATAATGCTTATAGTGGAATTTACATATGGAACTATTTATATCACTTTATTTATGGCATTATAACTGCTTGGAGAAATCTTATTTTATCTTGATCTGTTTTTAACTAAATGTATTTAACAGAAGTCTTTCTTTCTGCTGTGCAGAGGACCAACCCCTTCTGCTGGCCAACCCCTCCTTCCATCGTTGTCATTTAGAAACCCTGTAATGTTCCCATGCCATTGCATGTGTACACATCTGTGCCCATGTGTGCCTGTGATATAATTGATTATAAAACACATAAAAGGAACAGTTTTGGACTCCACAATGTAATGTGAGGGCATGGGATTCATGATTTGACAGTCATGTAACTAACTACTTCCTTAATTAGTAATCAATATATTTTCTATAAATTCCCAGATAATTGGAGAGCACTTTACATTTTAACCTTTGCTGTAGTTCTTCAAGCTACAAATCCATGCAAATGCTAGTTATTCTCCAAACATTTTTCTTGGAAGTTCATATCCCTAAAACTGAGGAACACAAATTTGATTCTATATTTCAATAAGTCTGGATTTTCCCCCACTTTTGAAGCTAAAATTCATTTTTTCTGTTATTAGCTTCTAGAATCTCAGAAATGGGATTCTATATTTTATTTTATCTTGATCTGTTTTTAACTAAATGTATTAACTAAATGTATCTGTTATATATATATATATATGTATATATATATATATATAAGTAATATAATTCAACAAGAAAGACATAAAAATCTATCCACAAGCAATGCCATTTGTAGCTACCATGTATCCTTATATATACCTAGCATAATAGACAATTAATATAGACAATAAATATATAATGAAGTGAGAAAAATATAGACAGAGATCTGGATGCTGGACCCCAAACTCACTGACTTGATGAACACACGTGGTGAAAAATAGTCACCTGCAGAAAAGCAAATAGTCTTATACAGAAGAGCATAAGCAGAGATATACCTTGCTAATTTCAGAAATGTGATGGTTGTGATTGCATATTTCCACTATTATTTTTCCTACATGTGCCTTTCTACATGTCCTTGGGAGCAATAGACTGGGGTGTAAAAGTATTTTGTAAAGAGCTTATTGTTTTTCTGGGATACAGGAGTCCATGTATATGTTGGGGGTCTATGTATGATGTTTGCTATGTATGTATGTTTGTTGTGTGTGCTTCCTTCTTCATGCCCTTGTACACGTCTACTAATCTGCCTATGTGTATATGAACTAGTTCTCCTGTTTGCAGCTTCTCCTGTTTCAAACCTTCCAAAATTTAGTACACTCAAACACAGCATATTTGTACAAAATGGGCCCTCACCTTTTTCTTCACATATTTCATTCCTTAAACAGGGCCCCACATATAGGGCCATCCCAGAGAAACATGGACTTCTCAGGTGGGCTAGTGGTAAAGAACCCACCTGCCAATGCAGGAGACTTAAGAAGTGTGGCTTCAGTCCCTGAGTTGGGAAGATCCCCTGGAGGAGGGCATGGAAAATCATTCCAGTATCCTTATCTGAGGAATCCCATGGACAGAGGAGCCTGGAGAGCTATGGTCCATGGGGTCGCAAAGAGTCAGAAATGACTGAAGCCCCTTGGCACACATAGACAGACACAGAGTGTTTCTGTGTATGTCATTTGTATTACTTGAGTTTTGAAATCATGTGTGTACAGCTGTACAAGGATTGTCTTATATCACAATTACTGTTGGATTTTCTGCGAGGTGAAAATTAAAAGAATATGGATGTAAGCAGCTGAAACTTATGCATTGGTGAAATGATTCAGGAAGTTGATCAGACTTATTTTGCACCAAAGGCCCCAGGAAAAGAGGGGAGAGTTCTTCCCTTAAAAGATCCTGCTCCAGAGCTTGGAACTAGCAGCTTTCCCACACTATAGGCCTCTTCCTCCATAATTCCACTTTGAAGCAATATTTTGGAGGCTGAGAATAGAATCATTACTGCCACTGAATCATAAAGTGAGGGCTGATGGCCTTGATCTCTGCAAACAAGTCTAGTATTCTCAAAGGCCCCTTTCCAGGAAGGAGAACGAGAGGAAGGCATCCAGAGATATAGGCAGTTGGCAGAGTCTCTCCCTACTGGCTCAGTGTGTTGAAGGTAACTCAGATCTCTATGAAGGCACATCAGAAGCTGGATTCAGGCTGGAGGATGAGGGAGGCTGGTAGCTGGCCGTGAACTCCAAAATGATGCCTGTGGGGCCCTCTTACGTGGGATGGCCAGATTATTTGGCCATAGCCCTTGATGAGGACACAGAGCATGTGGGGGTCGTGCCCCTCTCCTTCAATCCTAACCCTTACATTTTACCAGAGGCTACATTTCTGACCTCTCTGTCATTCCTTCCTTGATCTGTTTTTATTTTTTCCCCATTGTTTTCTGTCATTATGGGACATTTCACAAAATCTGTTTACTAGCTTATTTATTTTTAATTACCCCAGTAATATACAAATACATTCTTGTTATAAAATATTCAAACAAGAGAGAAGTATGTAGTCAAAAACAAACTTTTCCTTCCAGTTTTATTCCCCTCCCCAGGGGTAATTACTCTTTTTAATTTAGTCTGTACTTTTTCTGAACTTTCTCTCTGAAAGTTTGTATATACATTCATACATGTATAGTTCTATTTTGTGGGTTTCTTTTTACATAAATGAAATCATACTTTCTGAATTGTCTAGAACTTGTTTTTTGTTTGTCTGCTTCACTTGTTCCTCTCTCTTTGAGATCCTTCCAAAGCAATACCTACATGGAGAACTCTTTTCAATCCTTTTACCTACTACATAGACTTCCACTGTAAATCTATCTGATGGTGCATTTAACCATGCCTATGTTCTTGGACAATTACTCAACTTCCTTGTTTTTCTCTTGCTGAAAATATGCAGTAAAATGATATGACCTGAAGCTTCACCCGCCCTTCCATCTTCCCTTTGCAAGATGCATGTTAATTGCAGTCTCTCCCACCTCCTCCAAATTGAGCACTGCATTCAGCCCCACCTCATCACACCATGCTCCCTGGCTATTTCCCCTTGGCTGCCTTGGAAATTCTAGTTGGAGCTGCTGTCTTTTTGCCTGAGACAGAAGTGACTTGCTATTAAATAAACAGGCATTTGAAATCCACCCCTTTGTTACATTCTGAAAGCCAGAGGTTGCCACAGGACAGTTACTTAAATCAAGACAATTTCCAGGCAGGAAGAAGATGTAGAACCCTGGCATTATTCCTCTCCCTCGTTAGTTAGTAATAGCTTGATTGAGTATTGAGAGCAAGCCTAAAATGCTGCCATCAGCACCAACTACCCTTTAGATTAGCACACAGCTCCTATTCCCTTGAATGTAGTTAGGCCAGCTTAATGTCAAGGCATAAAAAAGATACTTGTTAAATAATTTCCCAGAGCTCCGGCTCAATCTTTAATTTGTTTTTATTTTTTTGCCCCTCTTTCCCTCTCGTCCCTCAGTCTCATTTTTGCTTTTTTTCTCTCTCTCTCTCTTTCCTCTATGCCAAAGGGTACGCCATTAAGTCGGGCTGATTTAAGGGCCGTCAACATCAACCTCTGTGACATGTGCGTTATCCTGTCAGCCAATCAGAATAATATTGATGATACTTCGCTGCAGGACAAGGAATGCATCTTGGCGTCACTCAACATCAAATCTATGCAGTTTGATGACAGCATCGGGGTCTTGCAGGCTAATTCCCAAGGTAAGGACAGCCTGTAATACTTCTCTGCTGTGCCTACAGGGGACAGGGCCTGGCAAGAGGGATATCCTTCACTCAGTAATTCAAAGAGGCTCACATCAGCCTGCCTGGTAGTGAAACCTGCCGTGGCTGCCGCAGCTTTCAAAGGGGCATCTCCTGCCTCTTCTTGCCAGCCCGGGAAGCGGGCTTGAGACCTGAATACCCACACTCACAATAGACTGCCTTCCCAAGAATAATCCAGCTTTTAAAACACCACCCCCTCAGCCTTCCCAAACAGTGGCTTCATGACCAAGGTCACCAGGTGAATGTCAGAGCACTGAAACGATGCTGGCCAAACAGTTCCCAATGTTTCTGCCTGACACATATTTTTGCTGTTGACCTGGGTTAAGCTTTGCCATGGTTATAGCTGCATGGGGGTGTTAAGCTTTGCATTGTTATAAGCTGATCAGGGGATGGTGGTCTCTGGAGAGAGGACTATATGGACACTCAAAGTCATTTAGCAAGAGGTGACACTTGTCAGCCTGGGAAGCGTTCTCTGTAGGAGGCACGGCGGCTTTAAATGACACATCTGCTGTCTCTGCTCTGCCCCAGTCTTTCTTGTCATTTGTTCTGGGATCCTGGGCAGATGGTAACAAGTAAAGATGTTGTCTAGGAGTCTCAGAGAAGCAGCACTGCTGAAACCCTGCAACAAACAACCTCACTCATCATGGCCTTGACAGGATAGGATGGGAAGTATTTTCTGCCAAGTAACACCTCTGTGTGGGTTTGCCATGAGTTGGAAAATCATTGTCACATGTGGTCTGCTGGATGGGTGGCATTGGGTGCCTGGTGGGGACCTGAATGCCATCACCCTAAGAGTAAAGGTAGAGGATGAACAGCCCATGAGAACTATAGCCATTGGGCTATGAAGCACCATCTTAGTGATATGATAAAGCTCCATCCTGCAGCCTAGGCTTATGTGCCACATTATCTTCTGTCAACTCAGCATCACCACTGCCTCCTTCTGAGGTCTCTGCAACATCACAGTGAAGCCAAGAACAATAGTTCCTAGAATCCCTTTACCTGCATGGTTCTGGGCTGGAGTCTACCAATGAGAGAGGGACTCTAGGGCCTGTCTAGATGGTAGAAGAGGAGAAGAAGCCTTAATTCTTGGGAGGCAGTTATATCCAGACCTTGAACAGATACAAGGTTGAAAGCCACTCTCAGTTGAAACTTTGGCAACCACTGACTTTGCTGCTTGAGATGGAGACTGGGGTGCGAGTTTCCCTGAGGGTCCTGAGGTTCACAGCAGCTTCTGGTGAAGTTCAGGAGAGCTTCTCCCTTGGTGTTGCAAGTGAAATGGATAATGGTGGCCTCTTTGGCTTTGCTCCTCCAGCCCTTCTCTAGGCGGTGTCAGCCTCTAATTTTCATCATACCTGTAGCAGAGTGGCTTCTATTCTTGACATACCCTGGTTGATACAGCCTGTATCTTGGTTTTGGCCTCTCCACTCCACCCTCCTTTGCCTTGCCCCCCAGTTTAAATCTTGGTCTCCATTTGCTCAGTCATGCCTGTTGGACAGAGCAATGTGCCAAGGCCCTAAGAAAGAGCCTAAACTCTTTCCTGCCTCCTGCAGGGAGCTGAAATGACAAAGGATGAGAGGAAACAGTGACTTGGCCTTCTTGGAGAAGGAAGAGGCAAGCTATGTTTTGGTTTCTGCCTTTAAGGAGTTGATCTTCACTGTGTGTCTTCCCACCCATACCTTAGCATGGGCATCACACAGGGACCATGTAGAAATGCAGACTCTCATGCCACCCAGACCTACCTGGTCAGAATCTGCATCCTAACAGCATCCCCAGGTGGCTGTGTGCACTACTTTAAGGTCCAATAAATGTTCACGTTAACAGCACGCAGTCCAGTGGACACACTACCCAACCCGATTAGATGCCCCTCTTCTCCTGGCAGGAGCTAGCAGAGGGAATGGAAAGAAGTAGAAGCAGAGGCAATGCTCCCTTCAGGTGGAGAAGGAACCAAACTGGGGGGAGGCGAGCAGGAAAAGACTCCCTTTCCCGAGCAGGCTGGTTTCCCCCCAATTCAGTAATCATGATTTTCAAGGGCCTACTTTAGAATCTTGACACACAGCTCTCTTAAACCTTTTCCCAGACTCTCAGATCCTATTTGATGGCCAAACTGGTTTAAAAAAAAATGCTTCCCCCTCTCCTCTTCAGGTACTCACTCAATTCTCAAAAGCCTTCTTTACTGTTTTTTTATCACAGCAATAAGCAAGAAAAGTAGATCTTGGAAGGAGAGAAGGAAGAACAAGGGAACTCATTTTTTTCTGCAATAAAGAGGGGCTCTTCTTTTGTGTAAACACACACACACACACACACACACACACACACACACATCCCAGAAGAGGCAGAGGATGTGCTCTATGGCTGGTGGTAGTCTTCAGAGACTCCTGGTTGGCACTGGAGTGGAGTGTACATCCCCCGGTAACCAGCAAGCATTTTATTCAACTCTTAATGAAGGACTGTCAAAGCTGTAGCCTCACTGAGTCCATATTCCCCATTGCTTTCTTATTCTGCCTGCTCCTGTCTTGTTCTTGGTCTTCTAACACTCCCCTGTGATGACACTCTGGCCTTCTAAAAGCGGTGGCCCTGTGGTGGCTATCAGCATTGGAAGTTACTCCTGCCTGATGGGTGAGTGTTGCAAATTCACCTCTGGCTGCTCACTGTGCAGCCCGCTTCTCAGGTTCATCCCAGTCCCTGGAATCAGATGGACAAAGTCAGATTCCAGCTGCTCCCCACTCCCTGAGACCCCGGTGACCCACCAGAATGCCCCCTGGTCTCAGATACTTTTGTTACCTTTCACCTGGGCGTTTGGCATGACCAGGCTCCAAGTGGATTGGGATTACCCTGGGTCGGGAAGATCCCCTGGAGAAGAAAATGGCAACCCACTCCAGTATTCTTGCCTGGGAAATCCCATGGACAGGATAGCCTGGTGGGCTGTAGTCCATGGTGTCACAGAGAGTTGGACACAACTGAGCGATTGAGGTTGATCGCCAGCCCCCACTTTCATCACTCTTTATTTTGTAGTCCTTATGAGATCCATTCCTTTGTTTCACCTTGAGAGCTGTGTTTCCATCTCTCTAGAACATAGCAGGTCAGAACTGTGGACCCAGGACAGATGTGTGTCCTCTGGGGCAACAGTATTCATGCAGCCTTACGGCAAGTTGTTCTAACATGAAATGAAACAAGATGTGTCTTAACATTGAGGAGGCAGAGTCTTCCCCGGGATTTGTGTCCAGACACTTGATATTGCGTGTTATTTGCTCTCCTAGACTCACAAAAGCTTTTTCCTCTTCTCTTTTCACATTCCCTTTTGGTGTCACTGTTCTAGCCCACATGGTGTCAGGACTGGCCTAGTGTAGGGATTCTGGACCAGATACTTTCTGAAAAGATCTGAAATGTGATGGCTGGTTGTCAGAAACAATTACAGAGAAAGGTGGCATAGTCCATGCTGGACGGTATATCCGATGTGACAGTTGGGTCTATGAGATGCAGTTTTAATATACAGCAGGCAAGACTGCAGTGACAATTATATAAAGCAGGTGAAGCCGCTTCTTGCTGGTCAGCAAACATCAGCTCAGAACCACTTTACAGCTCTTTACCAGCAACTAAGTGCCTTTATTTACAGAGTGCCTGTCACTTCCCTTTGGCTGGAGAGCTGGTGTATTATTTAGCACGCATTTATCTGGGGAAAACATTTCAATTTAAATCAGCTGGTACAACAGTGCTCTTGCCAGACTCTCTCCCTGTGGTTCTAAAAGATAGGAACTGAGTCAGATCTTGCAGTGGAGGGTGAGCAGAGTCCATTCTCAGAGAGCTGCTTGAGTCAGACCCGAAAGGAAGAATCATACAATTGAGTTTCCCATTATGTGTTTCTTGCTGTTAAAGAAGAGTTGATTTACAATGTTATATTAGTTTCAGGTGTACAACATAGTGATTCAATATTTTTATAGATTATGCACCATTTAAAGTTATTATAAAGTATTGGCTTTATTCCTTGTACCATACCATGTATCCTTATAGCTTATTTATTTTATGCATAGTAGCTTGTGTCTGTTAATCCCTTATTCCTGTCTTATCCTATTCTCTTTCCCCTCTTGACTGATGACCACTAGTTCATTCTCTATATCTCTAAGTCTGTTTCTGTTTTGTTATATACATTCATGTTTTATTTTTTATATTCCACATGTAAGTGATAACATACTATTTTTGTCTTTGACTTATTTCACTATGCATGATACCTTCTAGGTCAATCCATGTTGTTGCAAATGGCAGAATTAAATTTTTTTTATAGCTAATATTCATATGTATGTGTGTGTGTGTGTGTGTGTGTGTGTGTGTGTGTGTGTGTGTGTGTGTAGGCCACATCTTCTCCATTCATCTTTTGGTGGATGCTTAGGTTGCTTCCATATCTTGACTACTCTAAATAATGCTGCTATGAACAATGGGATTCATGCATTTTTTTGAATTCGTGTTTTTGTTTTCTTTGGATATATACCTAGGAGTGGCATTGCTCGATTATGTGGTAGTTGTGTTTTTAGTTTTTTGCTATTATGAATGTATATCTAATTATGAAATGAGCATTTATAGTTTCTTCCTGCTTAACCTTCTAGTAAGAGTAAGTTTTAAGGGGAAGAAAGAGGAATAAGTGAGTGGCCACTATGTGTCAGGCACTATAGCACCCAGAACACAAATGAGTACCATATTGAACAGTGAGGATCTAGAGCGTAGGCTTATTGCCTTGCTAAGCATTTGAATTTATACAAATATGATGATTAAATCTATCTTTTAAAAAGATGATAGCAAAAACACGACCATGGTTTAGAGCTGGAAAGAGATGGTGGCATGAGCTACATGAGAAGAGTACTTCAGTGGACTAGAAGGGATCAGATGAGGTCTGACAGGACAGGTTAGTGATGTTAGTTATGAAGATGACAGAAATTGAGATAGATCTG